TTGGTGTTCACAATATAGTGATATATATACAGTGGGGCAAAAAAGTATTTAGTCAGCCACCAATTGTGCAAGTTCTCCCACTTAAAAAGATGAGAGAGGCCTGTAATTCCCTTTCTTGTTCACACCACAACTTAATAAGAACTCAGACGCCAGCTGCTGTGCAGCAGAGGAATAATGGAGTCTGGAAAACTTAGAAGATGAAGTGTACATGGAAGGGGAGAGGAAGAGCTGGCAATCCCTGATCATGTCACCAGTCAAGACATTTGCAGAGCTTTAACAACGTATTTCAGTCAAATTTTAAATTAAATATGTACATTCTGAATAAGATTAATTCAACTTCCTTTTTTTCTCAGATAAGATTGAAGATAAGTTGTAATTTTTTTTGGTTCTTAACTTAAAAAAAAAAAATAATAAGCTGTATTTCATTGTTCTGTTTTAGTGATTATTGTTTTTTTTTCTAAAGAATTATATAATATTATACCATGGTCTATCTGAATACTCGATTCTGATTGGCTGGCAGGTGTGCATTAAAACTGTTTAATGCACAGGTACTTCCAAGTCAGTTTAATCATTGTTCTGTATTAATGCACTGCTTTTATTGACGCATGCAAACACACACACACACACAGAGAATGAGCGAGAGAAATCGCAGGTCGCACTGCACACACACAGAAACAGTTAATTCAACTTCCTTTTTTTCTCAGATAAGATTGAAGATAAGTTGTAATTTTTTTTGGTTCTTAACTTAAAAAAAAATAATAATAATAAGCTGTATTTCATTGTTCTGTTTTAGTGATTATTGTTTTTTTTTCTAAAGAATTATATAATATTATACCATGGTCTATCTGAATACTCGATTCTGATTGGCTGGCAGGTGTGCATTAAAACTGTTTAATGCACAGGTACTTCCAAGTCAGTTTAATCATTGTTCTGTATTAATGCACTGCTTTTATTGACGCATGCAAACACACACACACACACAGAGAATGAGCGAGAGAAATCGCAGGTCGCACTGCACACACACAGAAACATACAGGAGCACAGAAACTTGCTGTCAGCGCTGCTTGCAACTTTTAAAATAATAGCTTTGATACTGAATCGCTACATTATATCTTTCAGCGACAGGGAGGTAATTGCTGTTTTTGAAGAAACTAAACTCACAGCTTTATGGTTTGCAGAGAGAGACGCACAGATGCAGGTAATTCACATACACAACATACATCTCTCTCTCTCTCGATAATTAATTCAAAGCAAGGCTAGAATTCAAATAATTCAAATGCATTCAAATAAATATGACTCACTACTTTATCTCTGTGTCTGATTTAAAGCGTCTGATCTCCGCTGCGCATCAGATGGTTCTTTGCCTCCGCATTTTGCATTAAACCATTTAATGCTAGCCGTAGATTACATAAATGACAACAGAATTGTTTTATATTGTTAGAATTAAGAGTTGGTTCATTTATTTATTTAATTGTATTTTTTATCTATATATTTTTTAATGTAACAAGAGACTGACACATATGAAAATTACATCCGTCAATAATATACTGTGTTATGTTGGTCCATACAAAAAACATATAAATACGAAAAAAACGAAAAGCGTACCGAGACATCATTGCATCTCCGGAGGAGGTCTGAGTATGGGCAAGCAAGGAATCACCTAACATTGCCCTTGCAACCAGAATATCCTAAAAACCACATGGTAACATGCTGACAACTATATAAAACATCCTAGGATCATGACAGCAACGTTTGCACAGGAAAGAGCCACTAATATTTCAGAAAATATAGTTCATTTTGCAATTTTGTTTGGTAACACTAGTGGTGCAGAAATTATGGCTTAAATGTACATTTACGTATTTAGCAAACACTTCTATCCAAAGCAACTAAAACATTGTATTCAAGTTCTTCATTTTATCGGTTCCTAGGAAATAGAACTCATGGCCTTGGTGTTGCTCTACTGTTTGAGCTGCAGGAAATGACACACTTCGACTTTAAACATGGGAATAAAATGTAAACAGTGACAATTTAATTCAGTCATTGACATGAAACAATAAGGTCACAAGAGTAAAGGTGTCATTTCCATTGTTTAGCTGAAAGGCTTCAGTGTTGTCTCTCTTCTATGTCAAGCACAACCCCTGTGGCGCTTGACAACAGACACAAATACACATTCGCTGTCAGGTGTTCCTGGATTCCAGGGGCATAAAATTGAGTTGTCAGTTTTGTTTACCACCTCTGCCAACATGCTGTCTCTCTGAGCACCTCCAGTGGCTTTGCAAATAGTAATTGGATTTGCAGGGAGTGCTGGGTCGTTATTAAAAGGTCCCTGAAGAAATGTTGCATTTCTTTTCAACCCACTTTATGAGGTTTGATTAGAATAAGAAGAAACTCTGATTTTCTTCAAAGGCCAACAGGTGAAAAACATCCACATATTCAATTTGTGGAAAAAAAATTTTTCTCTTTCTATCTATCCATGTGTCAAAAGCAGACAGTCCTGACTCATATGTACATAAACTGCAACATTTTCTAATGCATTACTGCACAAATCAGATCATAAAACATAACTTACATGTCATTGCATGAATAGAACTGCACCTTTGACCAGAGAGTGAATGTGTAACTAGCTTCACACTACCGATGATGTGCAATATTGCACACATACATTAATGACAAATGTTTTACAGACTCAAAAGTGCAGTCTGTTTAGCCTTGACTCCTAGAAACTTGGCAGGGAATCAAAGTTCTGATGCTGAAAAGATTCTACAGCAATGGATTGGGTTTTACTGGGTCCATGGTGCACCATGTGTGGCCTTGTTACATAATAGTGACTGATTACATTCATTAACTTTTTTCAAGCAGAGTAGACTGGTTCAGTGCACAGCACACACCTTTATTTTCTGAAACAAAGTCTGAGTTTGATTAATAAAGTAGCATATTAAGATCAAGAGTTAATAAACTGTGAGCTACATAACTACAGTATATAGTCTAAAACATCTGACTTGATGTCTTCTTGCATATCATATAAAATCAAAACCATCAATACGGTCTGTATGAATAGAAATACAATTTGCATCAGGTTATCGGTAGGACATCTTGATGCATTTTTGCTCAGTTCTGTTTCCAAGAATGCTGTTCTTACACAAGCAATATTTCATCCAGTGTGCACTGACTGCACTCCCTCTGAGCTTGGTTTAAATTGTCATGCCTGTATATAATAATGCATATTCATTGTGGGAACAAGTCAGTTTGCACAAAGTAAATGGAATTTCCTGTCAGGTCATAAGCGTAAGGACGTTATGCTGCGCTTTTATGCTACTCTACACAAAATATGTCACATTCTAGGACTGAATGAAACAGAATCCTTATCACATAGTATTTTTTAATCAATACTGCATCCTATTGTAGTGCAATATATTCATAAATCTCTCTGCAATCTCTGTAAAATAAACTTCCCAGGGAAGTGTGGGCTGTAACACCAAAATTTCCACCAGGGTCAAAGCACACTACTTTTCTCACTGGGATTATTTGTGATATAGTCTAGAGTTTGACAGGTTTAGGCTTTTCACACTACACTTATTTCATCTTATTTAACCCTGAGTTGCATACACATTCTTCAAAGCAATGTTTCACACTGATTTTGTTTGGGTTAAGCCTATGAAGAGCACCAGAGCATTGCAAGTATGTGCATGCAAGGACTGCAGCATATGTGTGTAGCTGACGCATGTTTAAGGAATTTTCTTTTTAGAAGTCAGTTTACGTTAACATTTATATAAATATATAAATATAAATGTACAGTATATTATGGGTTAACCACATTATTAATTTTTAAACCTTATTTGGGCATATTCTAGTTCATTTTAAATGGTCTTGCTCTACATTTTTTTAAAGAAAATATTATTTTATGAAATATCTTAATATGAGGTGATTAAAACTGTATGTATGTATAAAAAATAGTTTTAAATTGAGTATACAATGTCATTCCACATAAGATAACCTTAAATATAGTTTTAGGTGTGAAATGCCCATGTCTTGAGAACATGTTGCATCTAACAAGATTTTCTATAGATCTTTTTCAAATAAATAAATGGACATGAAATATTGTTTGAGCTAAAATATACAGTTACAATGATTAGAGACATAAAACAAGACCACAAGGATAAATGATCGGTTATGCAACATTGCTGGTCATTATTCTGAAATATTTGATGAATGCAGTGATTGACCAATCAGAATCAAGTATTGCAGAGAAAGTGTAATAAGGATGGGTAGTTTACATTGAAAAATGGGCAGCTAATGTTATCTAATTTGACATAATTAATCTAAAACTATTATAAACAAAAATACATATTTCTATAATTACTATACATGCACAGTATACTAGATGCTAGCCTAACAGTAGAAATTGTGAAATATTTGTTCTTTCAAAAAATGATTTGTCATATTGCAGGACTTTTCTAAATGAGCTAGTGATTTATAAAAATATACACTTGTTCTTATACACATACGTATATTTTAAACTAAAATATCATGTAGTCGAGTATAAAAAAAAGACCATGGGCATGTTATATATAACTACCAGCTTACACTGTTGCATGCCACTTAACTGCCTCTGCCTCTGGCGTTATGAATATGAAATAATCATGTCACGGAAGTGGAAGAGCAAGCTCAGGTGACACCGCGAACAAATTCACTTGAAGTCTGCAGAACTAACACTGTCCTTTTGGCAAACTAACACAGTCCTATTTAAAACGTAGATATGTATTATTACTTTTAAACGCAGTCATGGTACAGTGTTGTTATAAGGTGTCTAAGCTTCTTAGGAAATGGAATAGTCGTTCAGCACGGGTCTGTCGCGCGCCTTATTTTCCTCAATAACCATGATCATAACTCAGCATGACTACCATCAGCCTGTAATCTTCAGTGATATAAAGTGACTTTAACAGTGCGTTAATTGCAATGAGATTATCTTAAGTTTTATGCGCTATTTTGCTGACACTAACCTGAGATGCCTCCGCCAATCACAATCACGTCGTATGCGTTCGCAGTCATGGTGCTGTTCGTCTCACTGGCGCTCCGCTCAGAGCAGAAGAGCCGCTCCGCATCTGTGTTCAAAGCATTCTCAGCCCCGCCCCCGCCTCCTATCATTGGGAATGACACCGGGGTAAATGCACTGAAGCTCCCATTTGCGTGCTATGTAAAGAGTGCCAGCAGGAGGAGCACCTATTTCTATTTTAACAGTACAACATTATTGTACAAATATATTTAAAAAATATTAGAACATTTGATTACACAATTTTAATAAAATAAGTGTATACATTTATTGTAAATAAAGCGGGTTGCCACAGGGCCCCCTCAAGCGCGGGGCCCGGTGCGACTGCACCAGTTGCTCCCCCCTAAGGACAGCCCTGTGTATATATATATATGTATATATATATATGATACAGATAATTTCATTTTATAGATCATTTCATGGTCCTCGAATTTGATTGGTCAACCGGCGTTCCAGAACTCAAAATTTCACTGTTTTGCTGCATCTGAAATGGCTCACTAGTTTAGGCTACTCATTCACTCAAACAGCGCTTGGCAGTAGTGTGCACTGTAGCCCCGCCCCCGTTTCAGCACAGCGATCATTGTCTTTTGTCTTCCGGGTTGTATATCCACAGCGTAAAATAAGGTCGAACAAATTTATTAATTAACCACTCCCGGTCTACTGACATGTTTTGACATCACCTTCGAACATTACAATGCACATGATAACTTTCCTTAATTCAGTATTTTACAATAAGTAATTCCACTTCACAGGCTAATTACTCTTCAACAGCGAAAACTGAAGTTCAAGGAGAAAATTCTAAGGATGGCTGCGCACTTGTTTCTCTGACGCATCAGGGGCCAGTTGCAAAAACTTAGCCTCTATGTTAAGACAGTGAACTAGTTTGACCAACTAGCAGTTAACCAATGGGTAATAAGTCTTATATTTTGGATTCAGCTTAGACTATTCTACGTTTTAATGTAACCAAATTTTAACAATTTTGACCAGTCTTAAAGGGGTCGTATGATGCGATTTCATGTTTTCCTTTCTTTTTGGAGTGTTACAAGCTGTTCGTGAATAGATAAGATCCCTAAAGTTGCAAAGACTAAAGTCTCAAACCCAAAGAGATATTCTTTATAAAAGTTAAGACTGGTCCACGCCCTCCTAAAACGCCTCGTTTAAACACGCCCCCACATGTCTACGTCACGATGTGAGAAGATTTGCATAACACTGCCCAAATGTTCACGCAAAGAAAGGCGGTGTAACTTTGATTCTCACTGTAGTATTGTTGCTGCCGCCACCGCCATGTCGTGGAGACGCTGTGTGTTTCGTTGCGAAAAATACTTTGTTTGGCCTTCCAAAAGAGGACACAACTAGAAATCAGTGGTTAAGCTGTATTTACAGCACTGTTCCAGAACAGTTCAACCCAAATATTCCGATGTGTGCAGCACATTTTATGGAGGACTGTTTCCTGATCCTAGACTACAATGCCGGCTGTTCAATATGTAAAAAGACAGTATAAGTCATCATAATCCGTAATTATGTCCCCACTGGATGCTACAAATGCCTCATTTATAATGGGTTTTATTGGTTTTGTCTCGTCGCGCCGGGACACGGCATCACAATATGGTAAGGGGCGTAATTTGAACCTTAAACCACAAACACATTTCATTAAACCAAATACACAAAATAAATGTTCTTTTTAGCAACATCATATGACCCCTTTAAAGAACAAAATTAGATGACTAACTTTTAAGACTAATGTAACCCCTCTCCTCACGGGTACTCACTGCCACACCCCGTTCTTACTCCGAGTGGGTCTCGAACCCAGGTCTCTGGCATAGGAGGCGGACGCACTAACAACGAGGCTAAAGACTGCAGCCACTAGCGCATCTCTTGAGATCAGGGGAGTGAGGTTTACTTGCACAGCACCTACCGCTGGCCTCCGTTACACTCACCCCCCTAAACTTCACTCCCATCCGGGTCACAACACCAATGTAACCCCTCTCCCCCTGGGTCCTCACCACCACACCTCGTTCTCATTCCGAGTGGGTCTCGAACCCGGGTCTCCGGCATGGTAGGCGGAGGCATAAAACTTTTATGTAACCGGCCCCTGGTCTAGAAAGCAAAGAATGAATGTGAGCGAATTCGAACCCTGACGTAGTGATCAGCGTTGTTTTAAAGGGGTGGTTTTACATATTTTACATTATTACAGCACCTCTCTCCCCGGTCTGGCATGAACGGCTCGAATAGTTCCTTTATCAAATAAAGGCCCGCCTTCTGAAATACGAAATGTGCTGTGATTGGTTAGCTGGGCCAGTGTGTGTTGTGATTGGCAGCACTCGGCGTTTGGTCGGGAAATGTCACGCCCCTTACCATAGCCGCCTGCGAGCTTCAGTGTAAATATTGTATCAAAATCAAATCAATTTGAGCGCGATTTAAACCCGGATGATTATAACCACTCTTAAGTTCGTCTGCCTTGGGAAAGCTAGCGTGTCTC